TCTGAATAAGGATTTATTAGGGATGTGTTGTGTAAAATGAGGCATGAATCTTTTCGATTTTCGATTTTTACTCTCCTAGAAGTTCGAATCGATTAGATTAATAGTTAGTACTAATAGTTAGTACGTCAAATCAAAAATGAGAAATACAGAACAAATACAAAGAATGAAAGTGAGTAGATATTTATTACTAATACGGTTGTGCGTAATCTAAGTGGAATTTGTTAATATTATAGTCATCACTAGCGCTATATTCACTACTACAACTATTCCTTAATTTAATTATTAAGTATGAAGTATTTCGACTAACATCAGGTAATATCGTGTGTTTTTTGACATTTTTTTTTGTAAGTGTAGAAACACCTAAGTAAGGTATTTCAACAAAATAATTGTCTTAATAGTTGGTGTACTTGTATTCCTCAATATCGCCATTCGTATTTCTACTAAATAATTATAGATCGTAATCGTCGTCGATCGATTAAGATATTGTATTGACGTCCACCGAGCACACAGTTGCGAGCGCACTCCGTCGCGACTCAAATCGGACTGACTTACGCTTACTTAGTGATGGGACTCGAGTTGCTTTTTACTCGAGTGACTCGAGTCATTTTTTTCTTACTCGGACTCGAGTGAAATTTTTGACAACCCGAGTTGCGAGTGACTCGAGTTGACTCGAATTACGAGTGACTCGTAACCATTTTGTTGGTTTATACTAAGCGGAGTAAGAAATATTTACAGCATTTTCAGTTAAATTTGTTATCTTTTTAAAAACACACTATTTCTGTTCTTTTGTAGAGTTTATTTAAGCTTCGTTTAAATTAATTTTAAAGCATGTTTATTATCAAAATTGTGTAAGAACATAATCAAACTGTTCATATTTAGATCTCATGAAAATTACTTGTAAGTATTTATTAAAATGGATTAGAACTTATTTATAGTACACTATAAAATTTCAACTAACAGATGATATAAGAGGTGTCTTGATTTAGTAGACAGGTTTAGTTTAAAGGAAAACATTATTTTTACACATTTCGTACAGATTTTTTGAGTAACTTTTAAGTTAATGCGAAAATAATTTCTTTATGTTAAATTAACATTGTTTTATTGGTTTTAAAATTTTGGTTCCTCGATTTTCATATTCCATAGTGACTCGCGTCTATAAACATCACTCGAGTCTTACCTTCACTCGAGTGGCATTCGAGTGAGAAAGTTACGAGTACCGAGTGACTCGAGTGAAAAAAAATCACTCGAGTCCCATCACTACGCTTACTAGTCTTGAGTAGTACACATACGATGTATACTAAAAAGTAATGTTACTTGGCACTGTACTAAAAGTAACGTCACCGAACGGCTTCTGTTAATCGGACATTTGGCACTTTTAGTACACTACACGATATCAGTGTTCGCCTCTTCATTGTTTGATTTCATTGAATATTTGCCAGGTTGAAGCATCCATCTTTGGTAATGAGAATCAAAGGTGGATAAAATTATTTTTAACTTAAATTTATTTTCGCTAACAACGTTTATTTAATATGTGACCCAGCTTAAATTTTGATGTGAAGTAATTACTATTGTGCCGTACAAAGGGGTTCGGGTCCCGCGGCACAACCTACTCTTGAACTACGATTGCACCGGAGGGCATAATATTGTAAACGTAAGGGGAAAATGGTACTCACCAGCTCGATGAATTGCGTTACCTCCTGCAGGTGCCTTGTCTCAGTCACTGTCAATCGAGTCAAAGTCTGGTTCAGTCAAGTCTATAGGCCCAGCGATGCTGCCTGAAGATGTACCAATAATTTCGAACGCGAAATCCAATTTAGCGACCCCGTTCGCTACCGAAATCGACACACCTGTTGTGTCTTCGCGTTATACAAAGAGCAACTCTAATCCGCACAAGTGTTCGCGACCGTCCCGCTTGGCTGCTCGATTCCGACTTTTTTCCTCGCACCCCTCTCCGCAGGCCCCGCGCCCGTCCGTAGTGGAGAGGGTTTATTCATCTACCCGCCCGTGCGAGAAAAATAAAATAGGCGCGCTTACCCGCACTAAACCCGGGGCGCGAATACAAAATTATGTTCGCCACCGAATGTGGCGAACCCGTGCTATCTATACCGAACAACTATATAGCTCTCGTTATATTCTATTCGTGTTATTGTGTTCTCACAAATCTGAAGTTTAAAGGTACTAAAAGTGTGTACTAGTACGTTTTCCCAATTGTACTAGTGCACTTGCAGATGTCCGATTAAGCCCAACACTAACGCTTACGAATGACACAAAATGGCCGCCCCATGTGCGGTGTTCGCCATGGGCATAGAGCAAGCCTACAAGTAAATAATCAGTTTAGTTCCATATTTTTTGTTATGATTAAATATCACTACTATAAGGGTTTTTAATCATTTAACAATTAACATAAAAGAATTGAATGGTATAGTTTTCAAATTAAATCTAAAAACCTGGTTGCTAGATCAAGTTTTCTACTCAATTCAAGATTTCTTTAACTCGAAGCAATAAAACTAAAGTGTAACCCTTGACCATGTTATAATTAAGATTGAGCTTGTTAAAAAAATGTCAAAGTTTAAATATAATATATTATTAGGTGCATGATGTTATTCCCAAATGTTTGCTTCGCTGCAATTGTACTCATATTGCACGCCTGAAGGGGTACTTATTGTTTTTTCTTTATATAGATGTTTGTATGAGTTAATTACAATAAATAAATAAATAAATAGTTCATAATTTTCGCTTATGTTCCGTCACTGTGATACCCGTCTATTAAATAATATGCGTGATGGATCAAACTAATCAACCTTATTTAGACAAATTATAGACACAGTGAACTACTTTTTTACCGGTAACTTCTTTGAAAGGTACTATGTTAGTTGTCAAGTTTAGTACACCATCTCAGCTCCTTGTATTGATGTTATTACACATTTTACAAAATTGTAAGCTCCATAGTTTGTTATAAAATAAACTAAACAGTGTCATAAGATAAAACATAAACATTTAAATCCTATTTATTGACACCTATTGGCAATTAGTTTTAATACAATAAATTATATTGATATGTGGTTCATGTGAAAAATGTATCAAGTGAAGTGTCAAGCATAGTGCTTCCTCAAAATATTTTTTTAATATCTTTGAAGTGTGTATACAGGTACAGGGTAATTCCGACCGTTAAGAATCACCTGTATTGATAGCTATTTTTTCAAATTTATTTAAATAACATACATGTAAACTAAGTTGTATGTGATTGCGGCACCGCGCCCCGTGCCAACTAGTCCCGTCGCCGTCCCGTCGCCGCCTCGCCTTGCTCACGTTACGTCGTCATAGAACTGTAACTACTAGTACCATTAACATGTACAGCTCCACGAATTACATTTATTACTATTTATTTCAATATTTTCTTTACATAACGAAAAAAATGGAGTACTGTATTAATACATGTAGCGTCTGGTCTACTCGTAGTCTGGATGTAGACCGTGTCGCCGGCAACGGTCGCCTTGCAGAGTCGAACTCACTACTATAATCGCATGTCCTTACTAATGGTAACTGTTGAAATTGATACAAAACTATTTAGTTTTTATGTTTATCGACGAGAATAACCTAAAACATCTTAATGGCATATATATAAAACAAAATAATTACTCAATGAATAACACAAGGGGAAATACTAGTGAATGGTGAACTGGTGAGTAAGCCTGTCGCGCCGGACAACGCTCGCCGCCAATTGTGCTGTTTTACTTTTGTAAATATTACTTTGGCCGTGTGCAGAGGAAATAAAAAAAAGCCTCGTGGTGTTTGTTGCAGGCGAGGCCACGCCGATCGACCCCGCGACATCTACCTGTCTAGTACACGTCACCTGCCGGTAGCCGCTACGTCATCGCCGACTCGAGAGCGCTGAAAATGTTGTCATCTCTCTAAAATAACGAGAAAAAAAATGGGAACACTCCGCCGCAGTCAGCGACCGCGACGACACGTCCTTGAACATCCCCCCCGCCTCGCCTCTCCCCTGCCGGAGCCCCCTCCCCCTTCACAGGCGGCAGGCCGGCCAAACCAGCGCCCACGCACACAAATTCACAAATCATTACACGAACACTTTATTTTTCAATATCCTTTATTAATCTTTCAACAATAATTGGACTTAAGTATGTAGATAACTTTAAAGTACACATTTAGATAATCGGCTAATAAAAATTCAATCGATTTACGCTCATAAAAATAATTTACAATATAATTATAACATATACGTAGTTCTATCGAAATTCCTTAAAACGTATAATACCTATGTACAATAAAATCAATGGCAATGGAAGGCGGCGCGGCGCGGCGCGGAGCGGCAACGCCGCGCGCGCGCTCACAGCTTCTTCACAATGTCGAACTTGGACTTGAGGTCCATCGGCACCTTCTTCGGGTCCACCTTCTTCTTGGAAGCGAGGTGCGCGCGCATCTCCGCCGCCGTCATGGTAAGATTGAGGCGCGGTGCCTCCGCGTCGGTGGCGGGCGCGGCGGGAGCGAGGACACCGGCGGACGCAACAGGTGATGGCGGCGAGGGCGGCGCATCCAACTCGGCGGGAAGGGGGTCGCCTGGCGCTGGCGCCACCACCAAAAGTTCGGCGTCGTCCGGTCGCTGCTTTATCCGCGCCACCACCTGTTTGTGCGTCTCGCCTGCGATGCTCTGCCCGTTCACCTCGAGGATGCGGTCCCCGCGGCGTAAGCCCGCCGCCTCCGCGGGCGAGCCCTCATCTACCTTGCCGATATACTGGCCGGGCTTGCCCTTCTCTGCGTGCAAGTTGAAGCCGTAACCGTCGAAGTCGGGCACTTTCCGCACGTGGCACAGCCGCGGCTCGGCAGCCGCCGACCCGTTCGCGGACATCGCTGCGACTGCGCGCGCAGCGCACACGGCCGCCGCGCGAGCAGGCCCCGCGCGCCCCCAGCCCGGCGTCGAGCGCCCCCTCTTTGCCCCACCCCCCTCTCACCTGTTGAGGCTCTGCGGGGCAGCGGGGCCGGGGTGCGGCGGGGCGCGGCCGGGCCAGTGTACGTCGGGTCGCCAACGCGGCGCGAGGTATTGCAAATACTGTGAGTGTAGTGCGTGTTCCGAAGATCCTTCCTGTGGCGTGTCGTCGACTTGAAGGCGGCCGAGGTGAGTACAGGCGAAGTGCGCGCGTTAGCGCTGCGGTGTATGATTGGAATCGGAGACCTTCAACGTGTGTAGTGCATTTGCAGAGAGAGTCGAATCTCGGTAGCAGTGGCCGGCGGTAATAAGGCGGGCGATGGCGATATGATGGCCACATAATCGCGGACATAGCAGAGGAAGCGGCGTTCGGAAGCTTCGCATGCATAAACTTCCGTTCGCCAGCAGTGCGCGGGCGCAGGGGGGTGGGGCGCGCGGTCGCCTCCGCCTCCGCCTCTCTAATACTAATGAAGGCGCTAGTTGTTGACCTTTGCGCAGTGCACGGGTGCTGTTCACTCAGCTTGTTCTCAAAATCCATTTTGTTACCGTTCTTCTGGAAGTAAGACGTAAAAGAATGGGATCCTCTGAATCTGGACTCCGGTTAGGTAAGCCAAAGTCAGTTCGCACACATTGTTGAGCTCTTCAGTTTGTATTTTCTGTTGCACAATTGACTCGGTCTTCGCTCCTTCAGTTCAGTAGCACTTCCACACTAAAGGCAGTTTCTAGTGGAAGCAATTCAGGATTTCATCTAGTGAAGGTTTTGCTGATAATGAAGGGACGGGAAGAGGACATAAACTTGGCGTCAAAGGGAATGTATAGGAAAAGCAAGTAACATTACTATTTCTGTTTAAAGGTGGCCATTACATCTGCGCCTCTTTAACTTTATGCAGATATATGCACAGCCAGGGTAAACCGACATTAATACCAGTGATCTCGTGTTGTCTTATTAATATTTTATTGGCTTTGCTTCTTGGTTACTCCAAATGAATCGATCCCATTGCTACAAAACCCACATTTGTAGTATGAACGTAGTGACGAATGTACTGCCGATTTATAATCACCGATGTCCATATTTTCCACATGTCGACACAAAAAAATGTGCTCTCATTTGCAAAATGGCGAATCGTAATCTAAAAAAATACCTAAATGTTGTTTACACTGTGTACATCATTGAGCTAAATGCACATCACAACTCAGCGGAAACATTTATTTAAGAAGCCAAAAAAAATACAGCTGATTGTAAGCTGGAAAGATGCACCAGGCCGAATGATATTACTGTATATGTAACACAGTTGAGTGCAACAAATCTTGAATATATACCCCATCTGAGCATACTCGGCTCGCAGCCGCAG